TAAGCCATTTACCAAGATAATGATATGGTATTTGCTTTGCTTGTTGAAGAGCCTTAAGCTGTGCAGACATACAGGGCTAATTGGTTGGTTGAAGTTCTGCTTAGATGTTGCTGTAGCCAATGTTATTTGAACAGTATGACATTCAGGCAATGTGTAAGATTAGTATGGGTGTATAGTTGGAGTGACTGAAGGTTGGCAATAGACTCATAATGTTAGTAATTCCAGTTTGAGTTTATTATTATTTATTATAAGAATAACAGACTGGGAAAATGTCTCCATGGACAAGTTTTTCTGAGTTTGACTTGCACTCAGTATTGAAGGAGCTTTGAGAGCCTTTAGAGTTTAGTTTATTTCTTACTACAGTATGTCCTGACTGCTTGCTATAACCTGCCTGTCTCCCAGACAGCTGCAGACTTTCATGTGCCTGCTGTCCTTTCCTCAACCCTCACTGTCCACCAGACGTCTTGGCAGCTTTCCAAGGCAGCATCTTTTTTGTGAACCCTCACTTCCCCTTCATGAACCTTTGGTCATTCTCACTCATTACTACTCAACACTCCTCCTTGCTTCACCACCAGCTGTGATGCATCTCTTTAGATACAGTTCATTTGATGTATTGAAATCCTTTCGTTTTCAATTTTACCCTTTATTACCCTAAAATAATCCATCCATTAGCCATATGGCTTACCTTGAATGTCATAGGAGGGTTGGAGGCAATCCCAGCTGACACATGTCCTGTAATAGAACATTGGCAATTTGGAGTCACCAACTACCACTAACCAAGCACAACTCTATAAATCTTAGGACAAGAGTCCAAATGCATATTTTTGCATTTCTTTACACAGAATTTAAGTCTTGTTCCTATACTGGTTTTTATTCCTCTGCGCCAGTGACAGCTAGAGCTGGAGGCATATTGTTTTCAGGTTGTCCGTCCATCTGTCCATACATCCGTACATCCGTCCGTCCCATTCTCGTGGACACGATATCTCAGTAACACCTTTCCAGAACTTCTTCAAATTCTTCAAATCATTCAATGGGACTCAAGGTTGAACTGATTCGAAAATTTTGGTTCATATTTTCTATGACTCCGGATAAATAGGGATGTAACCTGAAAGTGGAGGAAGGGGACAACCACGAAGAGTGATTCTTGTTCTGGTCTCAAATGTGTCTGTCTTTGATCATGGTAAAGGGTTAAGTTGTGCAACTTTCAAAACTGAACATCACAAAAAATTCACACGCATGCTGTTCTAGCAGCTCAAGCAAGCTCTGCCTTATTCACTAATCAATCCAAACAAAACGCTTGATTGTTATACGAGTCACAGTCTAGTGTTTTGTTGGAGTCAGAGCAACAACAGTAAAAAATCTAGAAAAACAAAAGGTGTGATGGGTAAACAGAGTGACATTTTTACATCTAGAAAGCCAAGCATGCCAATTCTTCATGTGTCCTTGATTAGTATGATGACCAACAAAAGAGGACTTTACATCAAAGGGGGCACGTGTGTCAATCACTCTGGACTTGTGGGTTTAACTGTTTCCTGGCAGTGAGGAGAATGATATTGTTTAACACTGTCTGGTTTCCGTGTGTCAGTTGGGAGCATAAGCTGCTTGCATTGACAAATATGCATGCCAGTTGGCTGACAGCCAGCATGTCAGAGGGACCTGGAGTGACCTCATATTAGGGGTGGGCGATATGGCAAAAATATCATATCACGATTTTTTAAAAATAAAATCACGATTTCGATTTTATCACAATCTTAAATTGGAAAAAGAAAAACAGACAATTTAGACCAAAGAACCTTTCTTAACAGATTTTATTTCAAATAGTCACAGTTTTTCCTGCATGTGCAAACAACGTAAAGTTTAAGGTAAACAACAACATCATTCTGGTTCGTTGTGTTACCACCCGACGTGCGAACGGTTTCTGTGCAAACTTTGCAGATTACATTGGCTTGCGCTTGATCAGTTGCGGAAAATCCAAACCAATTCCATATAATGGAGGTGGAATTTTTTTTAGTGACCAACTCCGTTTGGCTTTCAGCCATCGCTCTCCATGTGCTACCGCTACACACACAAACAAGGAGGCGGGTAGGAAAGTGCGTCACTGCCCGTAATTCGCTATGATTGGTCGGTCAGGTTGACGACGTCAATACGTCTGGTGCGTCGGTGCATCAGTATAGAACTGCAATTTATAGAATGTGCCCTAGACGATCCCACGATCACTGCAGTTTGAAAGATCGTCTTCACGTTGTAATCCTTCACGATCTAATATCGTCATATCGCCCACCCCTACCTCATATACAAGGAAGTAGTGAAAAAGGGATGTGAGGCCATCTTGTAAGCTACAGCGACAGCCAGCAGGCAGCAGGGCTGACAGGAGGAGACTGTCAGCAGGCAAGCTGTGATGGAGTGTGTATTTACCAGATCTGCTTTATGTAAGGGCATGCACAGACATAAACAAATAGATGCTCACACACATACAGTACAACCATACGGGTACCCATCAGGTCACATAAAGCAGATCCGTTCTGGCAAGAACTGGATCAGCACCAAACTCACATCCTGACGGTCACAGTACATGACTGATTAATGAACTCACAGACTGTGAACACTCATCACAGGGGCATACACACATGCAGGCACTCACACACATACACAAAAACAATAGGTCAAACTCAACTGCTGCTCATTTCATCAACTGATTCATTGTACGTTGCCTGTGACAACTGCTTTTTCGTCACCACAGTATGTACGCTGGTAGCCCCTGTACAAATCCCATCACTCTGCATATAGACCACATTAGTGCACTGGTAGCCATGTCATAAACCCATCCTGCTTCCTGGACTGATACAGTGGAACCACTGTGAAATGCCTACACCACAATGCATTAAATTGCACATCACATGATGTCACATCTACATGGGCTCTGTCCTAGTGGACTCAATAACATACTGCTTTTACAGCAGCTTCTGACTGACAGGATGTCTCTCAGGTGGAACAACTAGAACAACTCTCGGGCATACATGATGACTTCAATAATGATAAATAAATAAATAATACCATGAAATGTCCCACTACCATACAGACATTACATTATAGTCCTATCCTAGAGGCATCAATCAATTTTAGTAACTCAGAATTACTGTAAATAAACCCATGTTCAGCACATATAGATGAATATATTATAGTAACAGATTTTATATACATAAACAGACTTTTTTTATTTTAGGATGTAAAGTGGTTGAACAGAATCTTTTTTATTTCAGGTATATCTAAAAAACATTGTGTCACTGTCAACAGTTACAAAATTTAACAATGTTTTCAATGCAGTTGTAATGTTGATGAATCATTTTGGTCATTTATCATCACTAAATGGCAAACGTGTGTTGCTTCCTGATTCTCAAATATAGAACTGTTGCCTTTAAACTGAATATCTTTTGGTTTTGGACTCTTGGTTGGATGAAAACAAGGCAATGTTCTGAAATTACTTTGGGTTACATTATAGTCCTAACCCAATGACAGATGTGAAATATGTAAATGGATGTGGGTATAAGTAAGTACTGTCTGCAATCTGTGGATTCTCCATCACAGAAACATTGTGGCAATAGTAGACAGAGAAGACAGACACTAATGTATCAAACTTTTTAACAGTAGAAAGAGAATCAGAATCTGGATGTTGAAATCTTTGCCTTCATGATGTCTTACCACACTACAAAATTTAATGAATTTACAAATAAATGAAAACTATTTGTGAAATAACTTTCAGACATTTGTCAATGAATTTTTGTGAAGTGAAAAGCATTTGTGGATCTCAATTCTACACTTGTGGATTTGCATTTTACACTCACTTGGTTTTGAGACAAATTTTCCGCCAGTCTCAATGAAAATTGACCTGTATCACTCTGCCACTTTCTGAAAACTCTAGTAGCCTACAGACAACGCAATTTCCGCTTTTCAAAGTAAGAGCACACAGTCTTCTATGAGCTGTGTTTTCCCAAATAATTGGCGACAAGTGACGTGCAATAGGTTAACGTTTGTAAGATATTAAGTGACAGGACCTGGTTAAGGTCTTTGATAGTATGACTGTTATTGTTCATTGCAAATATGTAGGCCAAGCTAATGTTAAAAACTAAACTTGTCTCCACTTGTTGCCATGGAGACAGTAAACAGTCATGTTACAGACTAAGGGAATGAAAGCAGGGTGCTGGATTTCATACACTGTGAAGATGATGAAGACATTGTAAACAGATCACATTTCATACCCATCCAACCTGTAAGATAACTGGTGACATATCTTTACCATTGAGTTTATTGTAATTATTATGAAATTTGTTTGTGTATTTGCAAATCTGTTTCATATTTGCAAGATACTTTTGTGAATTTACAAATGTATTTTTTGTATTTGTGAAAGGTGTTTACAGATCTGTTTACACAAATAATATTGAGACAAATCTACCTTCATACAGGAAAAGTTCAACTATTAAACTAAATTGTGAAACCGTGTCAAAATGACAAGAAGGTTGTCTGTCTCAAAATTTGATATTGAAGTTGCTGGAGCAGCAATCATGTTATTTCATGTAGGTAGAATATGACTGAAAATATGAGACAATTTCAGGACATTTGTTTACTTTCCTGATTGTGTGGCGGTCACTCTTTAATTGCTTGAAGTTTCGGGAAATACACTAGTTAGTTTAATAATCTTTCATGTCTGTCCATTCAATATGAGGCTGGATCCAGGAGATTTAATTTAAGCTTACCTCAACATAAATACTGGAAGCAGAGGGAAACAGCTAGACTGTATCTGTCTAAAGGTAAAATAATCCACTTACTAGCACCTCTAAAGCTCCCTCCTAAAAAGTTATATCTGCTTTGCTGATTTTGTACTACAACCGAAGTACTGGACTATTACTTAGCTGGGAAAAGAAGTTTTGTGGTCACTGTGAGGAGGCTTTCACAGGTTTTACAGGATAGAGCCAGGGCAGTAAAAGTAAAGTAAAACCTCTGACCTTGGCAAACAGCGTCCCCTTGGCTGCCATTGCGTCCTCCCCTCTCCCATTGGGGTAGCACTCATAGCGTGCATCCAGAATTGGGTATCGACTGGCCAACATCAGCCCACTATTCAGGAATTTGAACCTGGAGCAGCAGCCTTTCCAGCCATACCGCCCAACATCACTCAGCACATACGGAAAGTAGCGATGCAATTGCCGTCGCAGTCTAGTTGTCGAGCTGTGGTCGAACACTTCCTGTAGAGCCAGGAAATCCAAGTTGGCAGGGAAAAAGGCAGAGATCTCATGGTCGAATGTCTCATCTCCATGGCGGCGTTTTCGTCCAGGGCGCTTGAAGATTGACGTGCGAGGGACATGAGAGAGTGTGTTGTTGGAGGATATCCCTACTCCGCTGTCACCTCCATGGTAACGAGCAAGGGACTCCCTGGAGGCAGTCATGCTGCTTGTGTCTCCTCCTGCCTGATCCCCTGGCCGATGGTTCCCTGTTTCAGCCTCCTCCTCCTGGGGGTCTGGGTCTGGAGCACTGATGCTGATTTGAACCCCTGAGGTGTGATGTGGGAAGTCTGTTGAGGATTTTGGCTGGTTCCCTTCACCATGCATGGGACAGTCATGATGGCCAGGGACACGCTGAGGCCCTGTGGAATGCATGGGACAGTCTGGAGCCTCCCCTGAGGTGTGAACAGGACAGCTAGAGCTGTTGTTAGCCCCTGCTGGGTGGAGTTGGCAGTCTGCTGTGGTGTCTGTTTCGTCTGGGTGAAGGGGGCATCCAGAGGAGCCCTGGTCTCCTGCAGCGGGGTGTAAAGGGCAGTCGGTGGCACCTGAGGGGTGAATTGGGCACTCGGTGGGGGGTTCAGTTTCAGTGTCCGCTGGGCCATTGGTGGTGTGTGTGGTGTCTGGACGATGGTCCAGAGAGGAGGTACGACGGAAACCTGTGGCAAGGCTGCTGAAGGATGCCGCACTAAAGAATGGAACAGAAAGACAGACAAATTCAAAATGTATTTGTTTGATTGGTATTTATGACAGGAATAAATGTTTTTACTACTGCTAAGACATGAGCAGCAGAAGCCCAGGAGAGAGCTCTCCTTACCTGATGGAAGTGTTAGTAGGTGAGTCAATGTAGATTTTTATTTGAGGCCGACTGGCACCATTGCGGATCCTCTTCCCCACCTCACGGGCTCTCCTGTGGGTGTCTGACAGGTTGTTGAACCTGGCCAGGGAGTCAGGCAGCAGGCATACGTTGGCACTGCAGAAACAGAAGCTTCTGCCCTGTGGCCTCCATTCCCCAATACCTATGCCCCCCAACCCTGCCTGGCCCTGCTCGATCTGGTGTTTGTCTGGTCTGCACAAGGTAAGAAAGAAATACAATATTAAATCAAACAGAAGCTCTTGAGTACCCAAATACCTACCCTGCCTAATTTAGATGAGAGGATCAATACCACACTCATATCTGCACGCTTAATATGAAAGTCAAAGCATAAAGACTGGACAGCTAGCCTGCCAAAGCACTTATACAGCTCACTAATTAACGCATTATATCTCATTTGTTTTGTCTATACAAAATACAAAGTTTCTGTTTTTACAGGGAGAAAGTGACTTCCTGGAGTCTCAGATAGTCGCCTGGCAACCTCACAAAATAATTCCTCAAGAAATAGCTCCAGATTGAGGCTAATGGTTCTGTTGAAGCATTGCAGTGTTAAATGAGTTTCGCAGGTTCTCATTAATACACTTGTTGACACAGCAAGGTGCTCTGTGGGGAAAAGCTGTGGTGTAAAAATCCACAGCTGTTAAGTTTATATCACTTTGAGTTTTGCCTTTAAAGAAATGTGTCTACAGTAGGGCTGTCAATTAGTCCATTACCAGTTAAGAGATTGCAGTAGATGCCGGTGTATGGTGCAACTGTCAAACAAGACTAGGTCAAAACCATATGATATATAAGGTATAATTTTATCTGACAAAGTCACCAAACACATTAATGAAAGACAAAGACTGAGCTGTGATTTCAGCTGTATTTACTGTAACATGGCACATTTTATTTTTTCAGTACAATTGACAAAGAAAACTTAATATTAAATGATAAGCTGTACTTACATAATTTATTATTACTGAGAGGTGCCATAAATCCTTTTGTTTTATGACCTACAATCACAGTAATTATATTCATATTGAATGAAGTCTTTCATTTGTTGGTGCATAAGTTATAAAGTAATGCAGTAGCCTTGTGTTGCCTGTTCATGTGCTGCAGGCATCTTCTCTATTTTGAAAATGAAAGCAGTTCAGTAAGTTTTCCTCAGGATGTACTGTGGACAGTAAAGTCTGTTCTCAACAATTAAAAGATAAGATCCATATAACTGACAGCAAACATGAAAATGAGCAGCAGGTGTCACACTGTGTGAATTTGCCTGTCAACAGGTTTGTTCACTCGAACAAACTGATAACTGATACTCAAGCCGGTAATCGATGCGCTGGCAACAAGTGGCAGCAAGTCCATGTAGCTCCTAGTTTTTTGCAATATATTTGTATATATTAGTATATTTTTTGTTGATTGATGTTTTTTATTCTACGTTGTTTTGTCTGACGATGGAGAAAATAGTGTACACAAAGGAAGAACTCCTGGTATTAAAGTTTACCAGATATGGAGTTAAACATCCCATACTGGCTGAGATGAAGAAGCCGTACTGTGGATGCAGAGCCGGGGCTAAGCTAAAGGGTAGGAGATGGAGATATAAGCCTTTTCTACCATCGATCCACATGGGAAATCCCAGCTCCCTGGCTAACAAGTATGATGAACTGGAGGCACTTGTGAAGAACCAGCGAGCATATCATGAGTGTAGTCTCATGTTTTCACAGAGAACTGGTTAAAAGACAATACTCCCGACTGTTGTGTGGATTTACCCAGCTTCACTGCAGGACGAGCGGATGCCAGAGCAAGTGGAAAGAATAAAGATGGAGGACTGGTTCTGCTTGTGAACAATAGATGGTGCAACCCCGGTCACATCACAGTGAAGGAGAAGATCTGCTGTTGGGATATTGAACTGTTGGCAGTTGTTCTTAGACTGTACTATGTACTGAGGGAGTTCTCACACATCGTCGCCGTTTTTGTTTACATTCAACCACGAGCAGAGCCTGCAGTCGCGTGTGACTTCATTCATGAGCACCCTGATGCATTCATTGCAATATCAGGGGATTTTAACCATGTCACTCTCACCTCTCACCTGACTGGCTTCACTCAGTATGTTGACTGTCCCACAAGGGAAAATAAGACACTGGATCTGTTGTATGCAAATGTCAAGGAGGCCTACACTGCTTCAGCTCTACCACCACTTGGCAGATCAGATCATAATTTGGTTCTTCTTCAGCCTTCCTACAACCCCTGTGTACTGAGGCAGGCTGCAACCACCCGCTCATTCAGGAACTGGACCCCAGAGACCAGTGAGTCTCTAAAAGACTGTTTTGAGTGCATGGATTGGAATGTACTGTTGGAGTCACAGGAAAATGATAACAGAAGGACCCTGACCTTGATAAAATGGTCGAATGTACCACAGACTACATTAACTTCTGTATGGACACTGTAATACCAGTAAGGACTGTACACTTCTTTCCAAACAACAAACCCTGGATCACCAGTAACATCAAGACCCTCTTCAACCAGAAAAAGGAGGCCTTCAGGGATGGAGACAGGGAGAAGCTCAGGTGTCTGCAACATGAGCTGAAGAGGAGATTAAAGCAGGCAAAGGAGGACTACAAAAAGAAAGTAGAAAGTAGGAAGCTGCAGCACAACAACACCAGATAGATGTGGAAGGGGATGAGAACAGCCAGGCAACATCAGGTGATGTGGACAAGGCCAATAAATTCAACCTGTTCTACAACAGGTTTGATACAGCGTCACCTGTTCTCTCTCCCACTGCTTCAGCTGCAGCTTCTCCTACGGCATCTCCTCCACAACCTGACACTGCAACTGCAACTCCCTCCACACTGGGGTCAAGTCTCCTGTCCTTTACAATGGAGGAGGTGAGGGAGGAGCAACACGTCCGGATAGTGTGTCCCCGAGGCTGTTAAAGGACTGTGCAGCCCAGCTGGCTGAGCCTCTCTAGAGGAACTTTAACTTAAGCCTTCAAACAGGGAGGGTCCCGGTCCTGTGGAAAACATCATGTCTTGTTCCGGTCCCTAAATTAGGAAGACCGGCTGAGATACATGTAAATGACTACAGACCAGTGGCCCTCACATCACACATCATGAAGACCCTGGAGGAGCTGCTTCTCCACCTTCTGAGGCCACCGGTTGAACATGCACTTGACCCTCTACAGTTTGCTTACAAAGAACATATTGGAGTGAATGATGCCGTCCTTTACATGCTCCACTGGGCCCATTCTTATTTGGATGAGCCAAGAGTTACATGAGGATTATGTTCTTTGATTTCTCAAGTGCATTTAACACCATCCAACCACCCATTTTTTTAAATTATTTTTTGGGGCTTTTTATGCCTTTATTGATAGCACAGTAGAGAGAGACAGGAAATGGGGAGGCAGAGAGAGGGGGAATGACATGCAGCAAAGGGCCTTCCGATGCGGGATCTGAACCGGGGCCAACTGCAGCGAGGACCTTAGCCTCTGCATATGGGGCGCCTGCTCAACCAACTGCGCCACTCGACGCCCCGAACCGCCCATTTTTAAAGACAAGCTGGAAGGGATGGGGGTGAATCCCTGCTTCACATCCTGGACTGCAGATTACCTGACAAGACGACCACAGTACGTCAGGCTGGGTAACTGTGTCAGGGACAGTGATGAGCAGCACTGGGGCTCCACATGTGACTGTTCTGGCGCCGTTCCTGTTCATCCTGTATACAGCGGACTTTAAATACAGCTCTGAGTCCTGCCACATCCAGAAATACTCAGATGACACAGTTATTGTGGCAGGTATCAGGAATGGGCGGTAGTAGGAGTACAGGGATCTGACAATGGTCTTCAGTGAATGGAGCAACAAGAACTGCCTCCTCTGAACATCTCCAAGACCAAGGAGATGGTAATGGACTTTCGGAGGGCTAGGCCCGCCCTTCAGCCAGTCAGGTTTCGAGGGAAGGACATTGAGGTGGTGCACACTTATAAATACCTAGGTGTTCAACTGGACAGTAAACTGAACTGGTCCCTGAACCCAGATGCTATCTACAGGAAGGGGCAGAGCCGGCTCTTTTTCCTCAGGAGGCTCAGGTCCTTTGACGTCTGCAGTGCAATGCTGCACATGTTTTATCAGTTAGTGGTGGGCAGTGTATTCTTTTATGCTGCAGTCTGCTGGGGCAGCAGCATGTCAGACATGAACACAAAGAGACTAAACAAGCTGGTCAAAAGGCTGGGTCTGTGCTTGGCAGGAGTCTGGACTCACTCAGGACTGTTGTGGAAAGACGCATGCAATGTAAGATGGAGGCCATCTTAGACAATACCAACCACCCTCTCTACAACATTCTGGCAGGACAGAGAAGCAGCTACAGGTGGAGCAAACGTACCATCTCACTGCACTGCAGAAAGAGAGGTTCAGGAGATCCTTTGTTTCCACTGCCATCAGGCTATAGTCCACATCACAGTGAAGGAGAAGATCTGCTGTTGGGATATTGAACTGTTGGCAGTGTGCTTAGACTTACTATGTACTGAGGGAGTTCTCACACATCGTCGCCGTTTTTGTTTACATTCAACCACGAGCAGAGCCTGCAGTCGCGTGTGACTTCATTCATGAGCACCCTGATGCATTCATTGCAATATCAGGGATTTTAACCATGTCACTCTCACCTCTCACCTGACTGGCTTCACTCAGTATGTTGACTGTCCCACAAGGGAAAATAAGACACTGGATCTGTTGTATGCAAATGTCAAGGAGGCCTAACACTGCTTCAGCTCTACCACTACTTGGCAGATCAGATCATAAATTTGGTTCTTCTTCAGCCTTCCTACAACCCCTGTGTACTGAGGCAGGCTGCAACCACCCGCTCATTCAGGAACTGGACCCCAGAGACCAGTGAGTCTCTAAAAGACTGTTTTGAGTGCATGGATTGGAATGTACTGTTGGAGTCACAGGAAAATGATAACAGAAGGACCCTGACCTTGATAAAATGGTCGAATGTACCACAGACTACATTAACTTCTGTATGGACACTGTAATACCAGTAGGACTGTACACTTCTTCCAAACAACAAACCCTGGATCACCAGTAACATCAAGACCCTCTTCAACCAGAAAAAGGAGGCCTTCAGGGATGGAGACAGGGAAAGCTCAGGTGTCTGCAACATGAGCTGAAGAGGGAGATTAAAGCAGGCAAGGAGGACTACACAAAAGAAAAGTAGAAGTAGGAAGC